GCCCGCAGATCGTAAGTGCTCAAAAGTAACGAATTCTGACCTATGTCTCGAACATGGGCCTGTAGCTATCACAGAGTGGGAGCTGACAACACCCTCCCCAGAGAGAGAGTGGTCTGAAGAGATCAAAATGCGGTATCTCCACACTTCAGATTCGAACAGTTGCATAGCAGCACACTTTCATCAAAAAAATAAACAAATCGCAGCCGTTTGCGCAGGTGCGCTCTTTGGAAGCGCGCATGCGCCCGAAGGATTGTCCTGGTGTTTTGCAGCCAGGTCAAAGCAGGATTCCAAGCTTTAGCCAGTTTAAACTGCCGATAGACAACCCACATAGAGCTCTCCGGGCTTTTTCCTAGCCGCAGCTTGGGCAAGCACGGCTGCAACGGAAAGAAGGCAGCACAGCGCCTTAGAAGGACGGTGTTGACTTTTCTCTGGGTCAGTGGGCCTGGCAGCACTGAGCTCGAGATGGACTTGCGCCAATTGATCAAGCACCAGGTCCTTACGTTTGATGGCTTCACGAAGCAGCTGCCTCGAAAAGAGCAACGGTTTTTGGGTGGCTGCAGTGCCAGCGGGCTCCAACCAAGTGTCGACACGGAAGCTGGCAATGACCGCAAAGTGGCGGCCTCCACCACGCCAGGGTGCGAAGTTGATGTCTCGGTCAGCTCGAGCTCGTTTGGCCTGCGTGTCTGCATGTGGCAAGAACGCAAAGACAAAATCTATCTGACTACGTTTAGGGACTGACCGTCGAGTCGATAAGTGAAGGCGTCTCTGGTAGAACCCCACGTGTTTAAAGGCGCATAAGTTGGCCAAGATGATAGCCTGTTCGAACTCCACAGAGTCAGGATACGTGAAGGCTGTCGGGTGCAAGCCTGGGCCCGTGTGTCGGAACTGAGCCCCACTGCGGCCATGCATGCATGGGTCGAGCGCCTGGAGTATGCCATTCTGGACGAGGTTCATTTGAGAATCTTGCTTGCACTGTGCACTGTAGACGATTTTTGTTTATGGCTCTGTCCTGCACCTGTTCGTGATAGAAAGAGAAATCAACATCAAATGGATGTTGAGGTATTGGGGAAGTGTGTAAGAGTGCAGGATTGTTACAGCCTGTTGGGAAAGACAGCAGGGCGGTTGGCGGGTGTTGTATGAAGATGATATATAGATAGGATGCAAAGTGGCAATCGGCGCGCCGTGATGCGGTTGCTTCACGAAGTGCTAAGTATGAACAGGTGAACTGTTGCATAAAACAAGCTACAACGTGCGACAAGTTAGTGTGGAGTGAGCTCACGGGAGCTCCCTCCCACTCATACATCATGCGCAGCAACTTTTCTCACGCATGTTCGCACTCTCCTTCGACTTCGCCCCCAGGGCGCTTGAGGTGATAGTTTGTGTGAACGTTTCTGCACTCTGATCTCGTTATGTGCATGCATGGCGCGCATGTGTTTGAGTAGGGGCTCTGCTTGTACGTATCTTGCGGTGCTTCTTCTGCCTGCGGGCTGGGCGGTGGGTGATTGGATACAGTAGCAACTTACGCCAAGAATGTGATGCTTGCTGTGGGGTTGGGCCACTCCCTGCGTGAGAACTGGAGAGGTTTCACTTCTACCTTGCCATACCTTGCCCCATTTTGGCCTTGTCTGCCACCCTGGGGCAGAGCGAGGACTTCACATCGATGCGAAAACTGCAAGCCCAGCAACGAGAGCTTCACGTACTCCAGCAGCTGGGTCGTTTTAACGACCCACCGGCCGTGGGTTTTTGATGGAGAGCATTTGCGTCGACTTCACCCATTCTTTGCCCTTCAACCAGCAATTCATGCCTCCACTCGAGACAAGATCAGACCCGAGAATCTCCATCTCATCCCCGAGGATGCTCTGCAGCTGTACGACGTGCTTAGCTCCAAGCTTGACCTCCAAACCGTGACCCCAGAGGCCTACTTTGCTTGCTTGCCACAGGGCTCATGAGGTGCAGCAGTGGTCCAAGTCGGTGGGAGAAGCTTTGACAGGGCATCCCGCGACGTGCAGGTCGAGGTGGTTCATAAGTTGACCGAGGAGGCAGGTACAGCATTCGGACGCATCGAGGAGGACCTCCGCAAGCAGTCACGGCAATATCTGTCGGCTCGGTTTGGTTTTTTGGTTGAGGAGCTGCAATCTGCAGACATGCTTCCAGCCATCGTTTTCCATGACAGTCGAGTTGGATGTGAAGGCTTGGCCATGGCATTGGGCAACTACTTGCGAGAAAAGGTGGAGAAGTATCGCAGAGATGAGAAGATACAGCTCAAGATTGAGGCCTTGGTGAAACAACAATGTCAGACTCCAGAACCAGAGGGGCATGTTGGGAAAGATGGCGTTCTGATTCTCAAGCCAGAAGAGTTCGACGACCTGCAGGAGAAGAAGAGGCTGGACGCGGCGATCTCATTACTACAAATGATTCCGCGGCAGTTTACGGTGACTCCACCGGGACGCACTCAGCTGACGAATTCTGAGCTGGAAGAGGAGTTTGATGAAAAGAGACATCCCTTCGATCCTGGCCATCCCTTGCACAGTCTTCTTCTCCATAGTATTGGTGTGCATCATGCTGGCTTGCCCGCAGTCTATCGGCAGGTGGTGGAGCGTGTCGTGGTGTCGACGTCCACCTTGGCCCTCGGCATCAACATGCCTTCGAAGACCTCCGTCTTTGCAGGAGACTCCATCTATCTGAGCCCCATGCAATTCCAACAAGGCCGGCCGGGCGGGCCGGCGCGGCTTTGACCTCCGGGGTCACATCGTGTTCTTCGGCTTGCCGGGCAAGAAGGTTCAGAGGCTTCTAGTCGGCGAGCTGCCCAGGATTGAGGGCAGCGTCCCCATGACCGCATCTTTGACGCTGAGGCTGTTGATGAAAGCTCAGGTGTTGCCGCAGGCGGAAGACTCTGTGGCGCGGGCAGTTGGTCGTCTGACCAGTTGCCCCTTCTTCTGCCCATCGCCAAGCATTCCATTCCAACAGGCGCACCTCTTTCAGTTTTTTGTCCGGCATCTCTTTGCGGAAGGCTTCCTGGGACCTGCAGCGGCCGGAAAAAAACGTTATCACCTCCCATCCTCTGTGGTTGAATTGCGTCCTCGAGTGTTTACACCGTTCTTCGCCATGTGTTTCGCCTCAGGTCACGGACTACGCGGGCTTTGTGGCGCACGTCTGGTGGGTGGAGCCGGGGAACTTCGCACTGGTCTCACTTCTCCAGGAGCGAGGCATCCTAACGGAGCTGTGCCAGGGCCCACGTAGGAATTTGGTGGCAGTGCTCTGCAACTTCTTTCATCGCCGACCCCTCGAGCGATGGCACTCCCGGTCCGGGGCGCGCCTCAAGAAGAGGCTCAAGTCCTCGGTGGTAGAGCTGCCTCCTCTGCCTGAGAAGATCAGGAGCATCTTGAGGCTTGCCTGGTCAGTCGGTTTGTATGTTGAGGCCATATTCGTGTGACCTTGGTGACATCAAAGAGAGTTTCGTTTCGTTGAACTTTTATGGATTATGTTTGCACCTTTTGGATATATTCATCATAGACATCGTCTTGGTCCAGCTCAGTTGGCAGAAAGCAATAAGCATGCAGCAAAACGTGATCTGGCAGCTCCAGCGCCTGGTCTTGAGCCTGGAGAACCCCATTTGTGCTCTCCCTCTGAGCAAGGTGCAACCCTGCACCTCCACTCCCTCCAAAGCTTTTAGATCGCCATTCATGGCGCTTTCCGGCCGCAAGAACGACTTTGTGAGCTTGCAGGAGCTGTGCTCCGAGCTGCGGGATGATCTTCACTTAGATTCTGAGATGTTCCCAGTGCTGGAGCTAGAGCCTGACGTGCGAGCTGTGCGGCTCAACGCCTATTTGCTGGATTTCTACCAGCATGGCCAAGTTGATGCGCTGGAGCTCGACAACAAAATCCCGCACACCGAATACTGGACACTTCTCGAGGACTTCATGTTCTTCCTGAGGGCCCTCGCGTCAGTGGCCAAACACCGCCAGCACCGCGCCAAGCAGCGAGGGGAGGCCATGGAGCTCGGCGAGGAGGTCATCGTGGGTGCTTTCGAAGCGATCAGTACGCAGTTCGAGGCCAACTTTAGGGCAATTCGTGGCAGGCGGCTCTGATCAGATTCGATCCTTCGATTTTTGAAATGAATGCTTCGTGGTGCTGGCCAGAGGCATCCCTGTAGTTTGTGTGTTAGGGCGACGCGGCGACGCAGCACTGTGGAGCGTCTTGCGAAAAGCACTTGGGGACTTAACATCTCGAATGAATATGCGCCTCAACAAAGCTGTAGGTATCCGAAGCTGGACACTGGTACGTGATACTTCTCATGAGGGACTTTCGCGGTTTCAATCGCTTTCGAGGCACCCGTCCTCTAGTTGGTCGTACTTGTAGTGCATTCCAGCATGGCAGAATAAATAGAAGGCGAGTCTCCCCGAAACGGGGGCACAAAGGCAGTTGAAGTTAAAGAGAAGAAGAGAGCATCCCGAAGGACAACGACGTATCATGGCCAGTACTTGGAGGATCATGGGACTTAGTAAGTAGGGTTATAAGTACCTTAATCGGGGTTAGAGGTAATTATAAGTATAGTTACCTTAACTATAACCCTAGTTACTAAGTCCCATGATCCTCTAAGTAGGTAACGTAGCATAGATCGCCGCCAATGCGAGTTCGCCAATTACACCAAGGAGTAGAGCTATGCCCTAACCCGGAACCCTGCACACATCCCAGCTCTGAACCCCTAAACCCTAAACCCCTAAACCCTGGACCCACCAGGAATCCATCAACGTCTTAAAGCCACAACCCTGAAATCCTAAATCCTAGAGCCCTGAACCTGCCTGGTTTTCCGGCTTCAAGTGTCCAAAACGCAGCAACTTGGCTCCAGCCCGTGTGCTGCTGGAAAAACCGGCGGTTGAGACCTCAGCAGTTCGGGAAGCCTGCCTGCAGGGACAATTACATGGAGATGCACGTTGCGTACTGCCACCTTTTGCAAGAGCTGCCGTTTTAGTTTTGCATGTTCATTCCTGGTTTCCTGTCTCACGTCGCATGACTATCATTATCAAGCTTGGAAGTTCTTTTGGGTTTTCTGTGCCAGGTGCTCTGAGGCCCCGCTTAATGCAGAGGCCTCTTCGACAGTTTCTGTGGTGGTATTGAAATTCAGCGTGGTTCGACGTGGACGGCGGAAGGGTTGTTGTACGTTTCGAGGAGGTTCGTGGAAGAAAGGTGAACGGGTTTCGTGCTTAGCGTGGATGTTGCATGTTGCGAGTTGCACCTGCCACAAGCCTCCTGTGGGAGGTAGTCGTGGCCGAGTCTGGTTGGAACGATGTTCTCTCCACCAGTGGCCGTGCACTCAAAGCCGTCCCAGACAGCAGATGCCATCCAAGCCAAAAGCCTAGACCAGTTTGGTTCGGCTGGCATGGTCTTCTGTAGGCAAGACGGCCCAGGAAAATGTCACAGTCACCTGCCCTAGTGACACCACCGTGGCTGACATGTCAAGCATGCAGCTTTGGTTCAAGGGATCGTTCGAATGCAGCCCGTGATGAAAGCTAGCTTTTTGTGCAGACTGTTCTGCTGCATTGTTGCAGGTGGTGCGCAAGGATCCGAGGATTCTTGTGAGGAGGCTCCATCCGAGGATGAGACAACCTTGCTTGCAACATCCACATGGCAGCAGCATGAGATCACAAAGCTCCAGGACGAAGTGCGGCACTGGAAGTCAAAGTATGAAGGTCTGCTGGAACTATTCGCTGACTTTTCTAGCCAGCCGCAGACGGTACAGGACTTGCCTGTGGACCAGACGCATCTCATGCCTGGAAATGTCCAGCGTTGCCGGAACGCCATTGCCTCAAGGAGCCCAGCACAGGCTACCAACCCTCAGCAGGAGCCAGACGTCCGCTTTCCGAGCTACAGCTACGTGGTTTATGGCCAGGACTCCCAGTTTGCGCATGACCTGCAGCAATCGTATGATGGAGCTTCTGACAGTTTGGAGAAGTTCCTGACCATTTCACCAGATGTCCGAAACCCTGCCATCATGTTCGACATCGACAACACCCTGGCATATACAGGTTTTAACGACACAGATCTTGTGGGCAAAGCTCCCGCCTTGACTGCTGCTGTTAATTTTGTCAACCGATGGTGTGCATTCGATGATTCCGACTCTCCCTTTGAGTGCTTCTTCTTTACTGCGAGATATTGCACGAGCTTGAAAGCTGCCGCTACCAAGATTTGGGTGACGGACAACTTCCCCGTCAGTCATGAATGGATCGATAAACACATCTTCATGACAGGCCACCGCTCCGCCGTTAATGCTGAAAGAAACGGTAGGCAGGCCGTACACGACGCTGAATATACCAACATGAGAGAACGTCTATACAACCATACTAACACAAACTCAGCAAACAACCGGTAGGACGACGCAAGTACATGTACATGTATATGTGAATGTATATATGTATACGTATATGTATATATGTGTGTGTATGTATATATATATATATGTGTTATATATACATCTGCACATGTGTACACACGTATATATGTATGTATATATATATATATACACATATGTGTGTACACATGTATGTATGTATATATGTACATATGTATCTATGCGCACATATGTATATATGTGTATATGTGCATATGTGTATATGCATATATGTACATATATATGTATATATATATATATATGTAAAATTATGTGTATACATATATATGTATGTGCATATGTATATGTATANNTGTGTATATGTGCATATGTGTATATGGTTCCATGTTTTATGTATATATGTATGTATTTTTATATGTATATATGTAAACATTTACATATGTTTCTTTGTTGTATATGTATATATATATATATATATGTGTGTATGTATGTATGTATGTATGTATGTATGTATGTATGTATGTATGTATGTATGTACGTACGTACGTACGTAGGTAGGTAGGTAGGTAGGTAT